GGAGGAAAACAATGATGAAAATCAGAATGAGGAAGAAGATAGTGATGAAGAAAGTGAGTTACCTGCTATTCCTATTATAATGGGGAAGTGTTTTTTAAACTCGTTTAGATGATTGGCAAAAAATCTAGAATCGACTTCTATATTTGGTATATTCCTGACCGTATTGGGATTTTAGTTTTTTGTCATGTTATATACTGGATCAATTATTTTTGATGATCTGCAAGTGTATTAATAATGACACAGTCAAAAAAGTTTTTGTCCGCACTTTTAGAAAACAATAATTACTACAACGATACTCTCAGTGGTATCAATAGACCATTTGTTACTTTAACTTATGCACAGAGCCTTGATGGCAAAATTTCAGGAATTAATGGTAAACAATTACAATTAAGTGGTGAAGAATCGATGATAATGACACATAGGTTGAAACAAAATAAAAGAATTAATGAATGATTAAATGAATAAATATTTAGAGTTTTTATATATATTTCTGTTTTTATGATTAGGATGAGAACACTGCATGATGGAATATTGGTTGGAATTGGAACTGTATTAAATGATGATCCAAAACTAACAGGTTAATTCTAACAAAATAGTCCTGATATATAATTTGTCAGTTAATTGATAAATGAATTATAGTGTATGGATGATGATTGTTTTTTTAATTTAGCAAGATTATTGGAGCCTGATATGGAGACCACAATTCAACAACCCCAACCAATAATTCTCGACTCAAGTTTAAGATTTCCTTTAACATCAAAGCTACTACAACAATCTCATTATCAAGGATATAAAAAACCATGGATTTTTACTAAAACTTTACATGATTCAAATAAAAAAAAGGTATAAATTTGAAATTTTTATGATATTTATGAATGAATTTAAAGAGTTATTATTATTATCATCATTAGATTTTAGAACAAGAAGGTGCAAAAGTTATAACAATTAATACAGACGAAAGTGGTAATATAATGAAAATTGTTTGGTTAATTGTTTATTATATTTACATATAAAATATTTATTTATTTATTTATTAGGAAAACTTTCGATTGTTCATTTATTAGAAGAATTAAATAAATTATCAATTAAAAGATTAATGGTTGAAGGCGGAGCAAAAATAATTCAATCATTTCTAAAAATAAACCTTTTAGATTTATTAATTGTTACTATTGCACCAATCTATATTGGGTTTAATAGTGTCTCGGTTACAGGAAGTAGTGAAGGTCAAGATGAAGAAGATTTAAAAGTAAGATTTAATTGTAACATGTAATTTTTTAATAATATTATATATATATATTAATTTTTTTATTAATAGAATAAAAAAATAGTTGAAGAAAATTTTCCTAAATTAATTAATGTAAAATATGAAATACTTGGTAAAGATATTATAATGACAGCAAATACGGAAAAATAATGATTTTTGAAAATAAATTTTATTTTAATGCAAATTAATTCATGTGAATGAAATCTTTTTAGATATTTTATTTAAAAAATATCTGATATTAAAAACAAATGGTGTTGGGAATTTACAACTATAAAACATCTGATAGCACAAGTAACTGTCTCAAATACATGTATAATTAAGGCTCTGCATGAGCTGGCATGCAAGGAACTTTATGTGTAATATTAAAAAATCACCAACTGGGTCTACTAAAACAAAACTTTAACCAAATCTAGAAGTAAACAGCTCCAATTAATACACCATCTGAATTCATCATTATCATTTATTTACAAACACATCAACATCACATTACATATATATATATTCGCCCAGGTTGTCATTTTCATTTTATAAAAACTAAAAATGTTCCACACAACTAATTATGCATATGACATAGTTTAGGTTATGCCATTTCTATTGAAAGGTTCCATACATGTTACTAATAAAAAAAATTTGGCTGTTACTCTTGAAAAAACCCATTTTTATATTATTAATTGGAAAGGATGGGTTAGTTTCATACATGTTGCTGGCGATAAATATGATCTTTACTATTGAGGCAATATCATACAAAGTCAATTTTTTCTGAAACTCTCAAAAATAAAATAAAAAGATTTTTATTTATTTGTTTCAAACAATAAATTAACTAAAAAGTGTACATAGTTTAAACTGTCTAAAGTACCAATCACATGTCAAATTTACTAGATCAAAAAAAAACAATCAATTGATTATATATAATAATAACAACAACAATAATAACCATCTATTTCTTTAAAAAAAGGTAAATCTAAAGAAATCTAAAAATTCAAGAAAAATTCTTCATTTTTAATGATACCTTGTTTATTATAGTATTGAATAGCTTTTAAATGTTCAAATGTAAAATCCCGTTCATCATTTGACATTTTACAAACATCTAACCAAAGTTTGATATTAGAAAGTTGACAATATTCTAGGAACTTGCATAATTTGTTTATAGAAAATTTCCATTCACCATCTAATTTGATTCTATTTAAACTTTTTGGTCGAGTTGAAAATAATAAATCAAATAATAAATCACCATCAATCTTTGGTTCATTTACTCCTCTGATTAAAATTGATTTTAAATTTTTACAATTTTGAAATATTTGTTTAAAATTCTTTAATGATGAAGATATATTATTACTATCATGACTATTTTCTTCTTCATTTAGACTTCTCCCATCATCACCATCAGCTGCAGTGTTGGTGTTATTGATGAAACACCAAGTAGTTAGAAATTCCAAGCTTGGACAAAATCTACTAATTATCTGATTAAAATTGTTGATATTTTCTGGATCTGGAACATACCAATAATTCAAATAAATTTTTCTTAGACTGTAATTTGTATTTGAGATAAGATTTGATAATATTTCAAGAGGTAAAGGTTCAGTTTCTAAATAAATAATTTTTAAATTTTTGAAATGTGCAAATTCTAATTCTTGTATAATATCATTAATAGAATCTCTATTTAACCAAAATTTCAAAGTTTCTAAATTTGATAATTGAGATATAGTGTTTAGTAATAAACATAATTCACCACCACCATAACCAAATTCAAATATGGAATCTTTCTTTTTGATAATAGCTTTGGATATCTTAAAACATTTTTCATTTGAGTCAAATCTATCCCAATTTGAACACTCAACAAATTTTAAATTTGATTGGTTTTCAATTAAGTTCGCCAGACCCTCATTATCATTGTTACAATGATCTATAATAATTTTTTGTAAACTTTTACAAAATTTTGAAAGTTCTGAGAATATTTCAGATTTCAATTGAGCCTCACATCTTAATTCAACTAGATTTGACAAGCTAGTATTTGCACCTGGAAACCAAGGAATTAAAATGTCTGATTCTCTCAAATGCAAATATTTAAAAGTTGAACATTTACTTATAAACATTTTATAAATTTCTTGTTTTAAAAGTTTCTTCATATCCTTTAGACTGATTAAAGATGGTGGTGGTGATGATGATGAAGGTGGTGATGATGCGGTGTTCTTATTATCATTTAATGATAATAAATTTTCTTTTCCAATAGCTGAATCAACCATATAATTTATATGATACGAAGGTAAATTTCTACAATATCTTGCATAATCAAACAATGGAGATCTATTCGTAGGTTTTTTTATGATGATTCCACTTGAAATTAAATAATTCTTTGAATCATTTGAGAAACAAGAAATCAATGTTGATAAAATCGAAGATTCTTTATTATTCTTACAATAATGTCTACAAAATTTCCAAGTATCTTTCCATAATATTTCTACTGCAATATGACACCATAATTTATTTACAAAAAGACAAGAATGTAATGATTTCATGTCATCTTGTAATACTTCTATAATTTCTCTTAAACACTCTACTGGTAATTCTGAATTCATTTTAAAAAAATAGGAAAGAAAATATTTTTTATTGTTATATTTATTTATATATTTTTTTTTTTTGATGTAATCCATTTATTTGTATTACATTAATAACTTAATATTACTGCACCCATGTATCCCGCTTTGAAAGTTCCTTCTAAAAAAAACGCAAGTGAATTCTAAGATACTTTACTGTTACAGAAACTTGCACTTCGCAAACATAGGCGTAGCCTATTGGTTATAAAAATGCGGGGAAATTATTAACAGTGGGAACTATCAGCTAGCAATACAGTCTGGGATTATACCATAAATGGAAATCATTCTAGAATGATTTACAATCACACCTCGAAATTTAATTGGCCTTTGGCGATCTTTTCTGCAAAAAAAATCATGCCATTTTTGTAAGCCCAAAGAAGGTATTATTTTTATAGTACCAATAGGCTCGCCTAAATACACAGTTTAATAATCCACTTTAATCTACAAAGGTTTACATATTAGTTTTTTTTTCAATAAGAGACATACTTTGGCTTGAATTTTTATTCTTTTTGTGTATAGAAATTATTCAAATTCCTACAATGTCAAATAAAGACAACCAGCCAAATCTTTGCCATGTACACATATTTGATAAATATTCAGAGAGCCAATTACAACTATGTAAAACTGTCTTGCAAACATGGAGGCGCACATCTGCAGTTGAAAGAGTAAATAAGTAAAATGAACCAAATAATTCATCATGGCAATTTTACTATTGAGTCTATTTTTAGGAAATTATTCATCATTTTAAATCCAGATCTATTATCTCTAGGTAAAAAATATTAAAATAATTCATTATGGCAAATGCAACTGAATGACTATGTTAATATAATCAACCAGAATTAGGTTACTAAATTTTTATTAACAATATATAGAACTTCTTGAAAATTCAATTGGGGCGCATCACGTTAGATCGAATTTCCATGTGCATGGAAATGTTTTTTTTTTTACCAAATTAATAGAGATGTTAATCAGTCCAGAAAAGTCCCAAAAAGTCCTCAACCTTTTTCCAAACAGTATATTTATTATATATTTTTATTATATATATCTTTATTTTTATTTAAGCATAATGGACATCCTATTTATCACAAAGTGACAAAGTTGAACATTGATCTTTTTTATATTGTGAAACAGAAATTTTCAATTATTTTAAAGTAAGAAAAAAAGAGGAATATTGGTACAAAAAAACTGATGCACCTTGCATATTATTTTTTTATAT